TATATATAATATATATATATATATATATATATATATATATATATATATATATATATATATATATATATATATATCAATACGGACAAGGTTAAGGCCAGAACTGAACTGAGTTATTTATAGTTATTATGAAGCAGTGTTGTGACGTAGCTGGTGTTACTACAATCAGTGTTTCTTCTAGACTTTTTTCTCCGGGGGGGGGGGGGGGGCACTTTATTTACTAATTTTATGTAATAGTGGCATGTGAAAAACAAATATGTTTGATGTAACATGTCGCTTATTATAAATATTTTAAATTGGGATAGGGGGGGGGGATTTTGTAAAATAATTAGTAAAATAAATAATTATTTAAATAATTTTTAAAAAATTTTAAATAAATAATTAGTAATTATAATTAGTAAAAAATAACATTGTGGTTATTAATGAAACTGTCCAATTAAGAAAACATGCATAAAATGATACCACTAATTATTTCAGGTGAAACACAAAACAACAAAAATTAAAATAACAACAACAAATTTTTTTTTCAGGGAAGCATTTTATTTATTTTTTTCCAAATCCAAACAATTTAGTCCGCCATTTGTACAACGGCAACAACAGGATATGACGTAACAGTTTGTTTTCTTAAACAGCTGATCAGAAGTGAACACGTACACATACAATCAAGCAGGTCTAAAGTATGTACACAGACTTTCTGTACACAAGTCAAAAAATCAACCAAGGACTATTTGACAGGCAAATTTGACGGACAAATTTGACGGACAAATTTGACGGACAAATTAGACGGACAAATTTGACGGACAAATTTGACAAATTTAACAGAAATATTCGTGAGACAAATTTGACGGACAAATTTGACGGGCAAATTTGACAGACGAATTTGACAAAGAAATTTGACAAATTCGACAAATTTTACACACAAATTTGACAGATAAATTTGACCGACGAAGTTGAAACACAAATTTGACAGACAAATTTGACCAATTAGACAAATTTGACAAATTTAATAGATGAATTTAACTGACGTAAGCAAAAAATTTACATTAGTAAAAATCAATGTTTATATGACAATTGTGTAAAAAAATAAAAACACAGCCATGACATCGATAACGAAACTAATATAATTATTAGGCAGATGAAAGAGATGGAACATTCACGTACAGCTCACGTGACTAGGTGGAATAAAGAAACCATAATAGTCAGATTTTATACAAAACATTTAATTGTTGCCGTAAATTAATTGGGGCTGGGTAATCAAGGAAAAAAAAAAACGTTTTTTTTTTTAAAACGTCACCAAAATGTTTTATTCTTCAGATATGTTGTACTGTACAAATTGCGGATATCCTTTTTTTTTAACCCAACCTAGCAATCAAATCATCCCTACTCCTTCTTCCCCCCCCCCCCCCCCCACTAGACTAAAAACAGCCAATCTAATGTATTGATGACGTAAGCTAAGTTGAGTGATTACAGGCGTCCATTTATTTCAAGGCCCGTGACTTTCACGTGTTCGATATCAATTACTTCCCTTTCTCTGTCACGGATAGTTACTTCCCTTGATTTCGTTTTATGAATTACGCTATCAAGGATATGTGACTCAACCCTTCTATCGTCCGTCCCCCCCCCCCCCCATTGTCATACAAATTATCTCATCTTCTAAAGTTCACTGACTTCCCCTTGTCACAAAAAAAAACACTGACTTAGTCATGGTTCCTGAATTCCCCGCGAATTTAAAATTCAACAGTCAGAGTAGCAGACGACAAAACGGATCACAGTATCACCAGATCAGATCACATTTGAAAAAAAATCATTAAACATTAGCAGACGTTAGCACACATTAAAAAATTATTAACCACAAATGTGTTAATAACTATGTATAAGCATGTTCAATAATCCCTTAATTTACGATAAGCATTAAATAACTAAATACTATTCCATCAAACTAACAGCCCACCGTATTATATATATATATATATATATATATATATATATATATATATATATATATATATATATATATATATATATATAGGCTTGGCTTTACAACTCAGCAAATGGGACCGCGTCCCAAATATACCGCTCACCCTCGCACTATTAGATCTATACAGATATTGAAATCACATAACTCTGGATGATCCAATAAACTATCTCAGAATATGTTTGATAAGTATAAGGCGCAAGTTTACAATTTAAACATATAGACATATTTTTAAAACGAGAAACGAAACAATTATCTTAAAATGTATATTGAAATAAACAATTATCTTGAAATGTATATTGAAATAAACAATTACATCAAAGATCAGATGACATAGAAGTGAACATGAATTGATGAACTTTTGAACACAACACTGCGAACGTGTTTTAACGGATATGTACAGTTCATGTAGCTCATAGAGTGGATAATGGATGCAGTCGTGGAGCTGTGGATAATGTCCAGCCACTCTAAATACAGCCTGGATTCATGAAATACCACTCTGTATGGAGTCTGGGTGTCAGGTCATTGTGGATAATACCAGCCTACTATGGATAGAGGCTGGATAATATCAACCTAGTATGGATAGAGGCTGGATAATATCAACCTAGTATGGATAGAGGCTGGATTATTTACTATAGGGCTGGTAAGTAGGTCCCCAACCAGTTCTATGGCTTATGCCGGTTTTATTGAGCCGTAGAACTGGTTGGTGACCTACTTACCAGCCCTATAGAATGAGACTGGTTAATCTATGATTGATAGAGTCTGAATAATCTGCTATGGATAGAGCCTGGATAATTGCTATGGATAGAGCCTAGATAATTGCTATGGATAGAGCCTGTATAATCTGCTATGGATAGAGCCTGAATAATCTGCTATGGATAGAGCCTGGATAATCCACTATGTTCAGCACCTGGATAGTTCCAGGCTACTGTGAATAGCACCTGGATATAGCCAGGCTAGTGTGGATATCACCTGGATATAGCCAGGATAGTGTGGATATCACCCACAGAAAGACGAGACAATGAAGAAGTACAGAGTTGGAGGCAAGTCGGATACACAATAACTACACTTAGTTGCTTCCCCTTGTCTAGAGGAGTTAGGAGACCCGCTGTATGTGAACTTGTGATGGTCAAAGTACACACATTTGTGTGCTACGTCACTGTGTCCCATTTTGCCAAATTTTTTTTTGTACACATTTGTTAACATAGTATGGAGAAACGAAAAGAAAATGTGCATTTAAAAAAAAATACAATTTTGAAATTTCGTATCATTTGACTCGCACAGTAAACACATTTTGTAACATTAATATTGATTTAGTGTACACTTAATATTTACATTTAATTTACATGAAAAAAAAAATAATTAGAGAATTTTTATTCTTTATGAAACATAATGCGATTAAGAACGACATACATTTTTAGGTTGTATACAATGATAGATATGTAATCGATGTTTCTCAGTGATAAATATACGAGCACATATCAATATATAGTTTTTTTTCTATCGATTATGGATATAAAACATCAAAAAGTAAAGACACATATACGTCACGACATAAATATACATAATTTACACCATGATATTTATCGGTATTATCATTCAATTTTCATAAATCTTTCTTGGTTAGTTTTTGAATCATGGGATAAACAGTTTTTATACAAAGCCTAGTTCATACCTACGATTATAGTAAAGTCTTTATACCTATTTCTCTCTCACACACACACTCTCTCTCTCACACTCTCACACACACTCTTCCACACACTCTCTCTCTCACACACTCTCACACACACTCTTTCTCACACACACTCTCTCACACATGGGGTCCGTTTCACGTCTCTCTCAACAGCTCTCAAAGGTCAAACAAATTGTTTTAAATATATTAAACTTTTTACTATAGAAATATAAGGGTGAAATCATAAGGGTAAACATACAAGTATATACGTATCGATAACTTAAGTTATGTGGATACACATATAAGGATAATCATAACAACAACTTATAATGATAAATATACCAAAATAAACTCATAAGAATAAACATATAAGATTAAGATTCAACAGAACATGAAACATTAAAAAAACCTCAGGAGTCAAGATAGGGGGGGGTGCTACTTAAGACCCAGAGAGCTGAGCACATGTACACGCTCCTGTCTATTCACCTTGACGTTGGAGAAGGTTGACCTACGTAGGTAAAACGTCGTGTCAAAAAAATGTTAAATAATAAAAGATAATAAATTACGTACTGAGATGTAAGATTCAGTATGGTTTTCTACAGCCAAGGCCAACGGTTCTACCCTCAAGACATACGGCCACTGTTACTATGGCTATGACATACGGCCACTGTTACTATAGCAATGACATACGGCCACTGTTACTATGGCCCTGACATACGGCCATTGTTACTATGGCCCTGACATACGGCCACTGTTACTATGGCTATGACATACGGCCACTGTTACTATAGCAATGACATACGGCCACTGTTACTATGGCCCTGACATACGGCCATTGTTACTATGGCCATGACATACGGCCACTGTTACTATGGCCATGACATACGACCACTGTTACTATGGCCATGACATACGGTTAATGTTACTATGGCCATGACATACGACCACTGTTACTATGGCCATGACATACGACCACTGTTACTATGGCCATGACATACGGTTAATGTTACTATGGCTAATGGGACGGTGTGGCCTAGCGGTTGGGGGGCCACGGTCAAACATTTAATTTGCTTGAGAGTTACTGACATTACTGCATCACATTTGTCGCATCATATGTTGTTCACAGCTCGAGAGTGACGTGTGTCAAAAATATACAAACAGGACTCCGAGACCCCCCCCCCAACAACTGCAACAGTAACGCAGACCTACCCACAAGATCAGATGATGAACCTAGAGCCGCCACCCCCCCCCCCCTCACTTGATCTGCCATTGAACCACCCCATCCCATTAGACCTAGCTGACAACCAAGCAAACACGCAACATCATCAGCTACTCTGTTTCAAACGACAACGCGGAAACACTTGTTCATCCATCATTACATTTCATCTCAGATCTTTACTAAACAAATAGTGGTCATTTGTCATACAAATCCACCTCTCCCACTCTATTTTCTAAGAAAGATATATCGCATTAATTTTAGAATTTTTTTTTCTTAAAACGTTTGTTGAATTTAAATAATATTTGAAAATATAATCTTACATTCTGATAGACTCGATTATTTTAGCATTGATTTTACTTGTCAAACTGGCCAAGTCGATTTTTTAAAACCCGATGTATCGTTAGCTCGAATACTCCCGAAGATTCGTGCCAAGATTGTTCTAAGTCTCGGAGCGACTAGACCGACGGGATACGGTTAAAGATATCTCTTCTCCGGTCTTTGATTTCTACTTCCTCGACACTTTGATCACCGGATAAAAAAAAATTTGGAACCTTTTTTTTTTACTTTACCGTCGGCGGCTTTAAAAACCCTTGGTCGTCTCGCAAAGGTAAGGCGGAAGTTGGCTTATCCCGAGTCACTTGCGCGTTCATTAACGACAACTCAACCCTTTCTTCCGGCGCTGCGCTCGCCCCGCCCCGCGTGTATGCGTGGCTGGTGCGTGTCAAAAGGGTATCCACGACAACGTGATTGGTCAGAAATTTCGTGGCCCGTTTGAAGGCCTTGGAGAAAATTTTCCTGAAGTTCTCGCTGAGGAAGGCGTAGAGGAAAGGATTGACCATGCTGTTGGCGTAGGACAGCACGGTGAAGGCGTGGAAGACCACGACCTTGACCTCGCTGAGCTGCGTGAAGGTCACGTTGTACACCTGGAGGCACCAGAACGGCAGCCAGCAGATGACGTAGACGGCTATCAAGGTCAGGACGAGGAAGGTCACGCGGCGGCGAGATTTGACCTTGGTTCGTTTCCCCGGGCCTACGCGGCGCAGGCGGACGATGACCAGGGTGTAGAAAATGGCGACCAGGGCCACGGGCAACCCGAACCCCAGGGTGAAGGAATACCAGATGTAAGGGGGGAGGTAACCGTACGCCGGCCAGCTCAGGAGGCAGGTGGTCAACCCGGGGTTGTACGGGTTGTCCACGGTGGTTGAGAACAAGATAATCGGAAACATGGCCAGCAGCGACAGAACCCAGACGCATGCGCACAAGGTCAAGGCTATCCGCGGGGTCCGGTACCTCAGAGACCCTATAGGGTGGCACACGGCCAGGTAGCGGTCCCCGCTCAGTACGCAGATGTTGAAAACCCCACCGAAAAGGTTGATGGCGTACAGGACGAAGTAGAACTTGCACATGAGGAAGCCGAAGATCCAGCTCTTGACTAACACTGTGGTGGCCATAAGCGGCATCATAGTCAGGAACAGCACGTCGGACACGGCCAGGTTGAAGAGGTAGAAGTTCGTCACCGTTTTCGTCTTCGGGCACCGGAGTATGACGTAGATGACCGTGCCGTTGCCGAGGAGACCGAAGACGCAGATGACGAGGTAGCACGTGACGATGACGTAGTCCATGAGCTTTTTGTGGCCGGCGGCCGGGGAGGTCAGGTTGGTGAGGGCGTCGGTCGTGTTGGTCCAGTCTTGGCAGTCGATGAAGCTGGACAGACAGCTGCCCAGGTTGGTGCCCTCCTCGCTGTAGGCTGTCCTGTCCATTGTGTCGATGCGGGACATGGACAGTTTTTTAAAACTGTATCAACACCTGTGTTAACAGCTATTTCAATACCTGTATCAACAACTATATCAGCACCTGTATCAACAGCTGTATCAACACCTGTAAATACCTATATCAACACCTGTATCAACACATGTAACAACACCTGATCAACAACTGATCAACAGCTGTAACCGTTTCTGTATCAACGGCTGATCAACACATGTAACAACACCTGATCAACACCTGTATCAATACCTGTACCAACAGCTGTAAAAGTCGCTGTTTTAACACCTGATTTAACACTTACTTTAACACCTGTATCAACACCTAAATTAACACCTGTCTCAACACTTAAATTAACACATGTATCAACACCCTATTCAACACTTGATTTAATACCTAAATTAACACACTCCCAAACACCAAATCAACACGTTTCCAACACCTATTTCAAGTCACGTATCAATATCTCCATCAACAAACATATCATCACTCCCATCACCAATGATATCAACACTCCTAAAAAACACCACCTACAACACCAGTATTCAATTGAAAGTTCACAAGACTTCAGTGAACAAAGTTCAGCCTTTCTAAACAAAGAATTTCTTGATCTCTTTGACAACAAACTAAAGAGTCTTATTGGCTGCACTATTAAAATAATTTTCTCTACATTTAAATGTTTTTTCTAAAAAAAAAAAAACACAACTATGTTGAAAGTGGTCCTACGGTTGCCCTATACTAGTCCTTTAGTTGTCCTAAGGTTCACCTCGATGTCTCACCTTGAATCACTTTCAAATGTTCACTATATCTATATCCAAACAAGATTCACAAAAAAAATAACTGTTCACTTTCTGACGGGGGTGTATCATTAAAATAGCAAGCCCAGCTCTTCTGTGGAGAGACGTGGTGTAAAAATTACAATCAAACTAAACGTTAAACCAATTTGTATCTAGATATGTTTAGACATTGTCTAGTTCTCTTTTAAAAGTGTTAGGTTCCAGATTAAAAGTATGTAACAGTGTCATACTTCTGAATGTGAAATGGTTTTTATTATTTTTTAATTATTGAAAAATAAATGAATTAATTTAATACTAATACTTATAACTTAAAAATTAAAATTAAAATTTTTAAAGATAAGAGAAATTGTAGAAACTATGCTCAAATCTTTACACAGTCAGAAACATTCAAAGTGATTTCTTAAAAATTGTATACGAAGTAAGCTATTTACACATACAAAAATAAATATATACACATTTTATTATAAGATTTTGACCTTAATTCAATGAATTAAAGTAAGTAACATATTTCTTACCTTAATTAATTAAAGTTATCCATTTTGTACCATAATTTAATTTATTAAAGTCAGTAACACATTTTGAACCTGGTTGTCCAGTGGCACATAAAACATACACACTGACAGGAAATATATCAAGACACACTGACAGGAAATACATCAAGACACATTGACAGGAAATACATCACGACACACTGACACACTGACAGGAAATACAAGACACACTGACAGGAAATACAAGACACACTGACAGGAAATACATCAAGACACACTGACAGGAAATACATCAAGACACACTGACAGGAAATAAAAGACATCAAGACACACTGACAGGAAATACATCAAGACACACTGACAGGAAATACATCAAGACACACTGACAGGAAACACATCAAGACACACTGACAGGAAATACATCAAGACACACTGACAGGAAATACATCAAGACACACTGTCAGGAAATACATCAAGACACATTGACAGGAAACACAACAAGACACACTGACACACTGACAGGAAATACATCAAGACACACTGACAGGAAATACATCAAGACACACTGACACACTGACAGGAAATACATCAAGACACACTGACAGGAAATACATCAAGACACACTGTCAGGAAATACATCAAGACACACTGACAGGAAATACATCAAGACACACTGTCAGGAAATACATCAAGACACGCTGACAGGAAATACATCAAGACACACTGTCAGGAAATACATCAAGACACACTGACAGTAAATACAACCCATCAAGACACACTGACAGGAAATACATCAAGACACGCTGACACACTGACAGGAAATACAAGACATTAAGACACACTGACAGGAAATACATCAAGACACACTGTCAGGAAATACAACCCATCAAGACACACTGACAGGAAATACATCAAGACACACTGACAGGAAATACATCAAGACACACTGACAGGAAATACAACAAGACACACTGACAGGAAATACATCAAGACACACTGACAGGAAATACATCAAGACACACTGACAGTAAATACAACCCATCAAGACACACTGACAGGAAATACATCAAGACACGCTGACACACTGACAGGAAATACATCAAGACACGCTGACACACTGACAGGAAATACATCAAGACACACTGACAGTAAATACAACCCATCAAGACACACTGACAGGAAATACAACCCATAAGACACAAACACTTGACAGGTTGTACCATAGACAGCAGGCAACTACAAAAAGAAGCCAACCATTTAAAAGGTGGTTGTCACACTAAGTCAGGTTGTCTGTAAGTTGATACGTCTTACAATGCAAGGGAGCCAATCACAGAAGGGTAATTAATGTACATCCATGATTTACATTTGAAGTGGGTGTTAATGGGTTTTTTTTCTTGAGATATAACTGATATATACAATGAATTATGTACAAATGTTAGAATAGCATTAAAATATTGAGAATACATTTTATATGATACAATATGTGTATACAAACAACATAAAAATACATCTTTCATCAACGTAAATAATGTGGTTTAATTTTGTGTTCAATGCGAGTGTTGGTGTGGTATAACAAGGGCGTTATGTATGTGGATATGTGTGTGTATGTGTGTGTGTGAGGGGGGACTGGGGGAAATGTGGGAAGTGGGAGGGGTGTAATTTGTTATGTAAGAGGGGTTTTGTTCTGGTGGATATATGGACGATGAGGTAAATCTGGATGTTAAGGATGGTGAGGTAAACCTGGATGTTGTGGTAAGTGTGGACGATGTGAGGTGTGGATGCTGTGTTAAATAGGTATGTTGTGGTAGATGTTGGCTGGGGTGGTGATGTGGTATATCTTGGGGTGGTAGTTTGGTAGACGTGAGTTACGGGTAGTTGTTGTAGTAGATGTGAGATGCTGTTGTGTCTGTGATGCGTGTGTAATGTTATGTAGCGTATCCGAGTGTGTACATATAGAGTAAACTGTCCTTTCGCCTAGTCAAACCAGGAATATCCTATACATCTTTAGGACATCAAAGTTAAGTCAGGACAGTCCTATACATCTTTAGGACATCAAAGTTAAACCCTTAATCCGGTGAGGTAGAGTAGTTGTGTTACGTCGTACCTATACTGTTTCATACTTGTAATTTATTCATACTTCAGTTAAACCGGGATTAGTGTATCATTTCAAAAAGTTACATCAAAGGCCAAAAGGTCACCAGCACGAACCATGTTCTTGGTTTGATCCTAGAGCTGAACTGGAGGCTTCAGATACCCCTCGTCGTCTTGTATCATCTTGAGAACGTTCTGGTCCGTGTGTTGAGGGGAGGTAACCTGGCAGCTGTCCATGCAGGATAACTCCATCTTTTCCTCGTTGGTGGCAGCACTTCTGGTGTACGTCTGGCTGGTACGCGGGAACACGCTGTTCTCGTTACCAGCTGATCTCTTCGACTCGAACGTCGACACGCACTTGAACGCCTTGACAAAACTCTTCCGGAAGTTGTCGCTGAGGAAGGCGTAGAGGAACGGGTTGAGCATGCTGTTGGCGTAGGAGAGGATGGTGAACCCGTGGAACAGGAACATCAGCTCGGGGTGGCTCTTCATGATGTCCATGAACACGAGCACACCCTGAAACAGCCAGTACGGCAGCCAGCAGACGACGTACACGGCCACCACCGCCAGAACGAGGCGCGTCACGCGTCGGTGAGACTTCCTTTTCTCTTTGGATTTTTTAGCCGGCCCGACGTGACGAAGCCGGACGACGACTAAGACGTAGAAAACAGATATCAGCGATACGGGGAGGGCGAAGCCTAGGATGAAAGAGTACCAAATGAAGGCCTTGTCTGATGATATCAACTTGCTTTCTGGCCAGTATATTCGACAAGAGTATCTTCCTTTTTGGTGTTGCCATTCCACTGTAGTGCTGTAGAGAATGATAGGCATCATAACGAGAAACGCCACCGACCAAATACAGAGACATAAAAACAACGCTATCCGAGGTGTCCGATATCTGAGAGATCTGATGGGGTGGCAGACGGCGAGGTATCTGTCCGCGCTCATCACACACAGGTTAAACGCGCCGCCGAACTGGTTGATGGAGTACATCACGAAGTAGATCTTACACATCGCGAAGCCGAAGATCCAATGCCGTATGATGGCCGTGGTCGCTAGAAGCGGCAGAACAGTCAGGAAGAGAACGTCGGACAAGGCCAGGTTCAAAATGTACATGTTGGTGACGGTCTTCATCTTGGCGAACATCAAGACCACGTAGATGACCAGGCAGTTGCCGACGAGACCCAGGACGCAGATGATCATGTAGAAGACGGAGGTGATGTAGGGGAGGACCGACAAGGCTTGGCTCTCCCCGGAGTCGCTAGGGCTGGCAGTGGTCGCGTCGTCGAACGACGTGTTGTCGCAGTAGTCCAACGAGCTCTGGTTGGCCTCCATTGTTTAGATTTCACTCAAGCGTGTCCGTTCTCAGGATTTGTACTCAAGTTGCGAAACATTTCAAAATTTTACACGCTGAATTTCCTTCCTTGTTGTGTTAATTTTCTTTATCCATTCATATTTTCATTCAAAACAGCAAATACTTTTTAAAAATAATATCTTTTATATATTAAAATATTTGAATACTCTCTAAGGAGATTGTTTAATCTAAAACAAGTCTAACTGACTCCTCTGTTTGCTTAGTTTATGTAGCATGCTGTGACAAGGTACCTGTGACGGGGGTGTGACTGACAACAAGACGCGAGAAACTACGAGACTTCATGCCCTACAGGTGGAGCACGTCACACAGGTGGTCGCCACGGTTCGCTGATCGTGCAGGTGCGAGACGACACGACAAAGCCAGCTGTTGGACAAGCGGACAGACACAGAAGCAAGCGTGACGGGGGGTCGACTGGAAGCTATACCTTTGTCAAGGTCGTCACTGGTGGTCCAGGTGAGGTGGGGCAGCGTGTCCCTGTACCGCAGGTGGACTAATGAATAACGTCACGGTGTTTAAAAATAGATCGGCCGTGTCTTTTTCAGCTTGTGAATTCAATCTGAAATGAAGATAATTAACCAAATTAATCTACTTGCACATCAATATATATATATATATATATATATATATATATATATATATATATATATATATATATATATATATATATATATATATATATATATATATATATATTGGATTTATGACCTATGTCTGGAATACTCCTGTGATATGATCACTAACTAACGTTTCAGAGGAAATACAAATCAAAGTGTGTATGTGATCAAAATAATTTCAATACATATTTGACGGAAGCCGTGTGTTTGCACGAAAGACACCCGAATGCCGTTTGCCCAAATGCCGTTTGCCGCAGAACAGACGTTTGCCTAAATGCGACAAATGGACGTTCGCCCTAATGCTGCTTTTCCGAATGCCCCAAATCTAGAACAGAGTTTTGCCCAAATGCGACAAATAGGCGTTTGCCCCCAATGGGATAAATGCCGAAAAGCTAAACGTCCTGAGGTCGCTTACCCGAATGGACAACAACCAATTCAAAATTTTCAAATTTGATTTGCACACAAAAGCTTAAGTGGCGTAGATGGTTGCATAAAACATCATCAAAATATAATTAAGAGCTTTTATAAAAATTCAAACAAAATTACGAGAGTAGTTTTATTTTTATGTTGTTAATCGAATTTGTTTTTAAAGTGTAGCTTTTAAAATTGTGTAACGGTTAACGTCCATGGTCTGTGGGGAAGTGGTCGAACAGAAATGATGTTCCACAACAAGCGTAGAGGTGGGCAGTTCGGATGTGCGAGTGGCGGGGGCCTTTTAACTAAAATGCCAACGTACATCAATTTATACCATCTTAGCTTATTCGAATAGTTATTATTTTAGGTGTGTGTGTGTGTGTGTTTAAGAGAAAGTGTGTGTGTGTGTGTATTTGTCTGTGTAAGAGGGGGTATCGAAATTTGTGTCTGGTTTCCCTTGCTTACCAATGACGATCGTAGGAGTTCGTTGTATAAATCAATCGAAATAGTACGATGTTATTTATAGACGACCCCCGCAACAGAATTTTCATCAATTATAGAGCTTTTCAACCTATATAATTTTTTAAAATCAATTTATTGGAATATTACATCATATCTAGTTACCCATCTTCTAGGAGCTCTTTCTGTCAGCTTAAAAAAAAATATTACGCGAAAGACACCAGTCTAGTACATCAGGATCTGAACTTTAAAGGCAAAAAATATCTTTTAAGTACGAAAAAAACAACAACGGCGAAGCAAATTAGACGATAATTGATTACCGAAAATAACATCTGTTTACCAGTTTTAAGTCCGTAGTACAAGGTTATAAAACTACACCAAACCAAATTTTAGAAAAAAAAAATTAAAACTTAATTAAGAAATGTTTAAATTAAAGCTTTTTTCAGTAACTCAGTTGTCAAATCACTTCGGTCGCTAATTCTCACCAGTCGCTAAAGCAAGTCACTTTTTACTTCGTCTAAGTCAGTGACGCTATGTCATGTTACATTTTTAGAAAAGTGGATATTTTAAATTATTTTAGCCATGGGAAAATCAATCAGAAAAAAAAAGAAACAAATGAAAGCAAGTACGAAAAGTTTAATAATTCTTACGAAATTATTAAATAGCCATATATATATATATATATATATATATATATATATATATATATATATATATATATATATATATATATATATATATATATATATATATATACGTATGTATGTATATATATATATTTGTATGTGTATGGTTGTGTGTGTGTGTATCTGTGTGTGTGAGCGTGTATGTGTGCGTGTGTGTGTCAGTAAACGTCGGAGAAATGTTAATAAACAGACGAACTAGCTGTAAGCTTCTCAGTCGCACGCGCCCAGTGTGCCGCCATTAAGGTATCACTGAAGTATCTCTGGGCCAAACGAAATCAGAAACCAATTTGGGCCCAGTTATCCCTGGTCAGTCTCCCCATCAAGCGCCATTAACGTTCCAAATAAGGCGTAGTAACAGGCCGTTGGACCGACGTGTTGGGCTACTAGTACTTAAGTTTTGTTACGGTTGAAACTTGACGGGGTTGGTATTGTTTGTTTTTATGACTTTTGAAAAGTTTCTTCAGGTAGTTTAATTATTCTCACAAGTAGCCTACTTTGAGAGATAAGCATTTTAAGTGTGAAAATGTGAATTCTTTTTAAATTAAAAAAAAAAAACAACATTTTAATTAAAATTGAGTCAGTTATTTTCTAAACCACCTGCGTCTAAGTCGTTGTATCTAATTGTTTTTTTTTAGTTGCCTACCTTTTTTTCATTAAGTTGCGTCCCTTTGATTATATATTTATCTTTCTTTTTAACGTATGCGACTTTTTTGTTCATGTGTTAACCTCCCCTTATGTTTGTTGTTTCGACACTTTTTTTGTTCCTATTTTTTGTGTGTACAGTCCCTCCTCACTTTTTAGGAATCAAGTATTAGCCAATAAGAATGCAGCTTATTAAACATTAGCCAATCATAATGCAGCTGATAAAAATAAAAAAGGTCAAGACCCTATTGTAAGAAATAAAACGGGAAAGCTATCAGAAAAGAGCATGCACTTTAAGGTAAGAAACGTAAACCTCGTCTTGAAGAATTAATTGAAACAACAAATTACATCTGTTGGTATGAAATTACTTCATTATTTCGTGATTTCCAGTCCATGTTTTTAGAAGTGTAAAATAAAATCGAAACCGCCTCCATTGTTAATCAAATGATTGGACGTTATTTTCGTGGGGTGGAGGAGGCGGAGGGCTTACAATGTATAGTACGTTCTCAGAAAGTACAGAGAAAATAAAGCGGGTACATCTAAAGCACAACACACAAAGCACGTCATTCTAAAAGCACATTGAAACAATACGTAAATGGATGGTGCTTTGTGGTTTAGATAAGGAGAACACCTAAACAAGAATTGTTTTTAAAAAGGAAACTTACAAAAAAAATATTGTGTTTAGATTTGTGAGGAATTAAAACAATACATAGTTCTACCATAAACCAAATTCTACTAGTGAGGGGGGTGATGGGCAGTTAACAGTTACAACCATTCCCCCACCCTGGGTAATTTAACAACAAAACCCCTCCCCCCAACATAGGTCTATATTTGTAATAGAAAAATGTAAAACACGAGCCTAAAAACGTTATCAAATACATTTTTGATTGTATGGCTCCATCTATCTAATTAACAAATAAATATAAATTTTTTAACAAATCCAATCTTGCATTCAGTTTCCTGTCGTTTGTGTGTGTGTGTGTATAAATCTTCGTTGTTCTGCAGATGTGATATTCCTGCCCGCCAGAAACAGAGTAATAACGGAAAAAAATACATATTGAATCTACTTCGTGTACGATTTTAAAATTTCCTATACATTCCTATACTAATATAAAAGCTGACATTTACAAGCTAGGCACAAAAAAAATTTGGACGAGTTGTAAACATTGAATTTAGCAAAAAACAACAAAACAATTGTCTAAACGTACCCTAAACTTTGCGCGGTATTTTGTTTATTTCTTCCTAGTATCTAAAGTTGGACTGGCCCGTTGTTACATTCGTCGTCATGGGCTGAGTTCTCCTTGGTCGGCGCCGCCCCTGGGCTGGGTTCCATGCACGTGAGCTCCACCCTCTCCTCGTTGGTGACGACACTCTTGGTGTAGGCTTGGCTGGCCCTCGGAAACACCGTGCTCTCGTTACACGCTGTGCTGTTGGAATCTAATGACGAGATGCATTTGAACGCTTTGACGAAAGTCTTCCGGAAGTTGTCGCTAAGGAAAGCGTAGAGGAAAGGGTTGAGCATGCTGTTGGCGTAAGACAACATCTGACAGCCGTTAAAGAGAAAAATCAAGCCCTTGTTTTGGTTTGTAAAGTGTATGAAAATTATCACCCCTTGAAACAGCCAGTACGGCAGCCAGCAGACGACGTACACGGCCACCACCGCCAAAACGAGGCGCGTCACGCGTCGGTGAGACTTCCGTTTCTCTTTGGATTTTTTAGCCGGCCCGACGTGACGAAGCCGGACGACGACTAACACGTAGAAAACAGATATCAGCGATACGGGGAGGGCGAAGCCTAGGATGAAAGAGTACCAAATAAAGGCCTTGTCTGATGATATCAAGCTGCTCTCCGGCCAGTTTATTCGACAAGAGTATCTTCCTTTTTGATGCGGCCACTCCACAGTAGTGCTGTAGAGAATGATGGGCATCATAACGAGAAAAGCCAGAGACCAAATACAGAGACATAAAAACAACGCTATCCGAGGTGTTCGGTATCTGAGAGATCTGATGGGGTGGCAGACGGCCAGGTATCTGTCCGCGCTCATCACGCATAAAGTGAAGACGCCACCAAAGAGATTCGTTGAGTACAAGACGAAGTAGATCTTGCACATAGCCAGGCCGAATACCCAATGCTGTATGAGAGACGTCGTGGCCAGGATGGGCAACATCGTGAGAAACAGAACGTCGGACAGGGCCAGGTTCAAAATGTACATGTTGGTGACGGTCTTCATCTTGGCGAACATCAAGACCACGTAGATGACCAGGCAGTTGCCGACGAGACCCAGGACGCAGATGATGAGGTAGAAGACGGTGGTGATGTAGGGGAGGATCTTCCGTATAAGTTCGTCATCGTCCGTCGTGTGGTTGGTCGCGTTGCCGCTGGCGTTAAGGCTGAGGACCATTTTCCCGGCGAGGTCTTCGCTGAGCGAGGAGTTGTCGCAGTCGTCAGTCTCCATTTTTGGAGGTTTTTACAAATTTCTTTCAGAGATTTATTTATACCAATATCTGATTTAATTTGTGGATTTAGAAACTGTTTTGTCCAACTGCGTTGTAATAACTCCACGAATATAATGGTTTTGTTTTATTTCCATATTTTTGTAGACTGACTTTTATTTAAATTTTATTCCATCGAACTAACATAAATCTGATCTTGTATAATCCTTTTATTGGCGAAATAATCCGAGTAAGATCCGTTTATAATATGTTTAAATTTTTGAGCCGCGTTGGAGATAGTTTATAAACAATGACTTTTGTAGTGGTGTGTAAGGAAATGAATTTGATCTAGTTTTGTTAGTAAGTTTTGTTTAGTAAAAATATAAACAATATATTTGTGATGTGCAGAAGTGGTTATTTTTTTATGTGGCGTGTTAAAAGTAGGTCAAGGTGAAACACTCAAACATCGAACACTGAAAGCACTGGGTCAAGGTCGTAGGGGAGAGCGAGCAGATTGACTTGGGGGAGACACAGATAGCGCCAGCCGAGAGGAGTGGGCGTGGCCATAAGGTGGGGGGTGGGACACAAGGAACAACGGAGTCCTGTCGTGTGAGTTAAAAGACGACAGCTACCATTGGCTGGAGAGTATACCTTAAAGATGGCTGCTGGATGTTTTGTTTTTTTCAGCCGGCACGCTGCGGGATTTAGGTTGAGAACTGCGCAAGGTTAAAGGAAAACGGTTGCACTTGGAGAAACGATGCTGGCGAAACTTGGTTTCTGGGAGCTGTGTTGGTCGCTGGTTTTCAAAACTTCCGGTGTCAGTTAAGTTTCGCTTTTGGTTTGTTTGACAACTTCCGCCCGTCACCCTGAAACCAAAATACAATATAATTAGGGAACATGTTTTAAACACAATGTAATACATGTCAGATAATTAACTATAAAAGTTGCCCTTTCGAAACTGACGGTCCATGTGACAGGTGAAGTAGAGTTCACCTATTTCTATGACCTTCAGCATATAGAGGGATAGTGAAGTCAACACTATGTTCAGCTGGGTGGACGCAGGGACGTACTACTGCCTCGAGCCTGGGATTCGAACTCGAGACATTTCATTTAGCAATGGTACGCTCTACGTCCAGCCTAGTCGTCCCATAATCAATTATAAATGAATAAAATTTCATTGAGGTAAGACGGCTATAACATCAATAGAAACAGCTATTCATGGTGATTTTTTATCGATGAAGTAACGCAAATTCAGAGGTGTAACAGAAAGACACTAGAGCACCAAACACTGCTTTATCAGCCATCACAGATTTTAGATTAGAAACAACACGATAGTACCTCTCCTATTGGTCAAGAAATATGTGGGTCTCCTTATGTATAACTACCCTTGTTATGTGTATTAGTACTTTTGTTTTGCGTCTTAATATTCGTTTTATATGTGCTTTTCATATTATACTGCTATGAGCCTAAATAATTCTACAGCATGTGTTAGAGATCATATGCTGTTAAGGGGTCGGCTTGGTCGAGTCGGTAAAAGCTCATGGTTACTAAACCGAAAAGTCTCGAGTTCGAACCCTCGGGTAGATGAGGCTCTTTAGCTGGGGACAGCCACTCTTCTAGGAGAGACAACTCCAAAATTAAACAACTGCTGCCTTGTAGCTTGTTCTTGGTTGGACAAAGGCTATGGAAGCAAATCCAAAAATAAAAGCAGGCTGAAATCGGAGTCAATGGCCTCAATGGCGCATAACCAGTTGACACGTAACGCTTAATTGTGTTGAAGGCGTGGTCGAGTCGGCAAAAAGCTCATGGTTGATAAATTCGAAAAAAGTCTCGAGTTCAAACCCACTGGCAGATAAATCTCGATCCGCTTCAACACTAATAATTAAGAACGAAGAAGAAGAAGAAATATGCTGTTATAAGACTAACTCGCCACATTATATGTGCTATGGTATGAGCCTAAAACAATTGGTATATATATATATATATATATATATATATATATATATATATATATATATATATATATATATATATATATATATATATATATATATATATATATATATATAGATATATATATATCCTGTGTTGTTATGAAACTAGTGGGGAGCAGTGGTTGTCTACAAGCCCATAACTAGGGGCTTAATTTTCAACACACTCAATGTTTTTATAACTTTTGTCCAGTTTCTTATATTATGTTAATTACGAGTTAATGAGTTCACATTCATGGCGAGTAGAATTAATGAAAGTAATGCCTTGCCCCGGGGTGGTAAATATATTCAATCAATTCTTTTATTAATTAGTTTTAATTAGCGCCGTGGGCTTTTGATGAAAGGAATTGCCTAATTGATTGGAAATTATTTTATAAGAACAGAGGAAGGAAAGTAAACGGGGTGTGCATGTGTGTAAATATGTGTGGTGTGATGTATGTGTGGAGTCTGTCTGTGAGATGGGTGTGGTGTATGTAAATGATGTATGTATGAGAGGTGTAGCGCGTATAAAATATGTATGGTGTATAAGAAATATGTGTGACGTATGTGCGATATGAATGCCTTATGTGAGGATTGTGTGGTGTATGTGAAATATGTATACATGCATGGGAGTTGTATGTAAATGCACGCCTTTTTACTTTCTCGTATATAAGAAGTATAGAGAAAGTCTTGTAATCGTGCAAAAAAAAAAAAATCGAGATTTTTACAAATCTCGACGTTTTACACCTCACTGATACGACAAAAACATAATTTTGCAATCTTGTCCGTATGTCTCTCTCTCTCTCTCTCTCTCTCTCTCTCTCTCTCTCTCTGTGTATGTGTGTGTGTGTGTGTGTCTGTCTGTCTGTCTGTGAGTAAACACGATAACTTGAGTACCGTTACAGCTAGGCTGATGAAATTTAATATATAAGTATTTTATCAAAATAGTCGATCCGTATCAACTTTTGAGCGATTTTCGATAAGCGGAAGTGGTACCTTTTCTACTGTGAATTTTTCAAAAGCCTATAACTTGAGTACTATTTCAGATAGATAGATGAAATTTCATATGTAAGTAAAAGATCTAATTCTCTACCTTCTGTCAAATTTTGAGTTATTTCCGTTGACCGGAAAGTACTAATTTACGCTATTTCCGATTTCTCAAAAAGCGTATGTAAATTTATAAAGTACTAATAATATTGCGCACTGTTATGCACATTTTGTTTTGGCGTCCGCTTGGTGCGTAATTTTTTTTTCTATGAGATTCTATTCTATTTTTAAAAGTTTAAGTAATTAAAAAATCATGTCTATATTCCAAGTTATATAAGAATATTCGAGAAAGTTTAGGGGAGATCACTCCCGGTTTATTTTTTTCTTGACCGTGTATGTGTAAATATACAACGCATTTAAAATTAAAAGAAAGTTTCTGTATGAGTGTTTGTACGAGCGCGTTAGAACAAACATGTCGGGTGTACGTAGGGGGCGTGTCCCCTAGTGGACCATAATCCAAATGTCTAGATCCGGTTGGAAGAGGGAAAAAAGTCTGGCCATCGTTTAACTGTTGCCAGAGTGGGCGACCCCTCTTACGTCACTGACACGGTGACGGTGGGGATTAATGACGTCATCAAGTGATTAATGACGTCATCAGGCTTAAGAAGACCACAGTGAGTGGCCTTAGAAATTGTGTTTCAGCTAGAAATAGACTTCTTTCTCGCTCAAAAGTTAGAAAACAAAAACAGCTAACGACTAATTAAAAAGAAAATTCGTATAAATCAATCTATTCTATTTTCTATTTATCTTCCTAGATCATCTATTTCCCCCTAAGATATATATATATATATATATATATATATATATATATATATATATATATATATATATATATATATATACATATATATATATATATATATATATATATATATATATATATATATATATATTATATATATATATATATATATATATATATATATATATATATATATATATATACATATATATATATATATATATATATATATATATACATGCATAAATGCAAATATACATATCTACATATCTACATATCTACATATCTACATATATATATATATATATATATATATATATATATATATATATATATATATATATATATATATATATATACATGCATAAATGCAAATATACATATCTACATATCTACATATTTATATATATATATATATATATATATATATATATATATATATATATATATATATATATATATATATATATATATATATATATATACGCAAATAAAAGACGTAGAAAATTCGCAGGATCAAGGACTAGTATACTGACAAAGGTCGCTAGGAACATCCTAGCTGGATCATAAACGTCCCAACATTTGAAATTAGAATGTCGAGGGGAGGGGGCGATCAAGATGGCGCTGAGATTGTCACGTAACCTTCACAAATTGGTCCAATACGAGACCCAGACTTGCCATCTAACTGCCCGGGCCATCTAACGCGGGCCACTTGGGCTCAACTCGTCTGGAAGAAATCTGGCTACTACCAGACCTGCTGCCACATAGATCCATCGGCGGGGTAGGGGGGGTTAGTACTTTGTTGACAGAGTTATGGCCGCTTGGTAAAGAATGATAGTCATAGCTCTTGAGTAACAATGCGTAGCCGATACCGCTCTTAACTTTTATATAACCAGTAACCAAAAAAAATCATCTATGATTAATGTTATAACTCTTCGTAATGCAACTTTCTTACAACCAACTGTCCCAAATGATGTATGTCGCAACTTTTCTGACTGTCTCTGTTGGAAAGAAGCTTTAAAACCCAACTTACGAAACCACAACTCAGCAGGAATGTTGCAAACGGGGAGTTAATTAGGAAGGTGTTTTAGCTCAAGGGAGATAATTTCACGTTGTTTACCGAATTAGGGGAGGTAATTCTAGCAGACCATACGGCTCAATGGGAGTAAATTTCTTCGTGTTTAGAGGATTCAGTCTTTCAACTAAATGTCAGATGGGTGGGTGCTTATGTGGGTAGTTGGTTATGTGGTTGTGTGGATGGATGGTTGGCTGAGTTGTGTGGATCGATGGTTGGGTGGTTGTGGGAATGGATGGTTGGCTGGGTTGTATGGATGTATGGTTGGCTGGGTTGTTTAGATGGGTAGTTGGGCCGTTGTGTTGGTAAGTGAAATTTCTTAAATTGATTTTAATCGATCAACATTTTTACAAGAAAACGTAAAGAATGAACATTTGTTCATTCCATTAATTTTAACGTAGGCCCTATTTAAAAGTATGTTATTATAAACGTTTTTTAAATGCAAGTATTATTTAAGAATTAACACTTAAAAAATTTTAATTTTATTTTTTAAAAATGTGGTTCTTTTTTTTTTTTCAACTTTGGCCTAACCGAAATATGTGCCGATTAAATTGATACGTTGGATCAATTAAGGCGGGAAACATATGGAGCTGTGAATGTTGGGATTAAACATGGACGACTGTATCCAGATAGGCCTGTTGTTTGCTGAGCTGGGCTCACGTCTGCTGAGGGTAATGTTGACATGAGGCAATCGACATGTGAGAGTCAACACCTGGTGTGTGGGGCGGTGTGTGGGGGCGATGTGTGGGGTGGTGTGTGGGGCGGTGTGTAGGGCGGTGTGTGGGGCCGTATGGGGGGTAAATTGGATGGTGTGTGGGAGGTCTGTGAGGCGGTGTATCGGGCAATGCGTGTGACGGTGAGTGCGGGGTGGGGTCTACAACTGGAATGTGGGGTGGAAAGGAAGCTTTTCCTTTATACTTCTAATACGAGAAAGTAAAAAAAATACAGCATAAAATGATTTTTACCTTGCAGCATAAGAATGTTAACTTAATCTGACGCTTAATAATTGTGAGGCGCCAACATTTTAGGTTTAGTGTGGCGGCTTTGTCGTGTGACGCCCTGTATTTGTTGTGTGACACCCTGTATTTGTTGTGTGACACCCTGTATTTGTTGTGTGACACCCTGTATTTGCCGTGTGACGCCCTGTATTTGTTGTGTGACACCCTGTATTTGCCGTGTGACACCCTGTATTTGCCGTGTGACACCCTGTATTTGCCGTGTGACACCCTGTATTTGCCGTGTGACACCCTGTATTTGCCGTGTGACACCCTGTATTTGCCGTGTGACGCCCAGTATTTGCCGTGTGACGCCCTGTATTTGCCGTGTGATGCCCTGTATTTGCCGTGTGACGCCCTGTATTTTCCTTGTGACGCCCTGTATTTGCCGTGTGACGCCCTGTATTTGCCGCGTATTTGCCATGTGACGCCCTGTATTTGCCGTGTGACGCCCTGTATTTGCCGCGTATTTGCCATGTGACGCCCTGTATTTGCCGTGTGACGCCCTGTATTTGTCGTGTGACGCCCTGTATTTGTCGTGTGACGCCCTGTATTTGTCGTGTGACGCCCTTATTTTCCGTGTGACACCCTGTATTTGCCGTGTATTTGCCGTGTGACACCCTGTAATTGCAGTGTGACGCCCTTGTCGTTGGTATAAAAAATAATTGCAACATGCACCATTATAAAAGCACCCATCACCCAAATCTAATTGTTTTGACGTAGTTTTGCAATAATCCTGCGACATCTGACCTAAATCCAATTATTTTTGTGTAATTATGCAATAATCTCACACGTACGCGTGCGTGAGTAGCTTTATGTTTTTTTTCTCTCACCTTCTGCTACAGGTAAACATCAAATCATTTCCCCCCACCTATAAATGCACGTCATGACGTCTTTGTCCAGCACGTCTTGACTCTCTAAACCTCCCTGTCTAAACCCAGACTGACATCCAAGGTAAAATATTGAATGTGAACTAGTCTATTTTATTTACTTGTATTGAAACCTTTTGATTATTGTATAGGCGATGTTAAAATTCGATTTGGATTTGAACATTATTTATATACATTTTATTATCTAAGGGTTATGAGTTATGAGCTAGCTATGCAAAATATTTGAGGAACTAAGATTCTTCTGATATAAAACGTACGAAACAAAAGTCGATACAAACGCTTACAAAAAGATTCCCAATTAACAATAATAAGTTAATTGAGTTTATTATAGGTTTCATCTGTTTTGGAGCTCTAGTTAAGTCAATACATTACCTACGCTACCGAAATTGTTTGAATATTTACCTTGGTTTTATTTACGTTAAGTCAAAATTGAAAACTTTCAGATGTGTCGTCTCTCATTCGTTCTACTCGTGTCAGCCTTAGTAGCTGGGGCCTTAGGTAAGTTTTTATAGAGGACTCACGTTAATAGAACTTGAACTTTTTTTTTTAGAATACTCCTTTTAGAAATTAAATTCTTAATATAACTCTCACGTAAACAATTTAACTCTTTATTAAAAAACGTCAAAATGTAACTCTTTATAAAACACTCACGTTAAAATTTAAACTCTATATATACGACTTACGTTAAAAAACTTAAACTCTGTATAAAACACCCACGTTAAAACTGAACTTACTGAACTTGTTCTAGAACTTAATCTACTCCACCTGCAGGCGCCACGTGCCAGAGGCGTGTCTGTTACCACACCAACTGGTCCCAGTACCGAACACAGCCTGCCCAATTCCTGCCCAGTAACATCAACGCTTCTCTCTGCACGCACATCATATACGCCTTCGCCAAGTTGAGCAACAACCAGTTAGCGCCCTTTGAGTGGAACGATGACGATACTGCGACCAGCAAGGGGATGTAAGCGAGATTTTATCACTTTAAATACTCCCGATTCATATTGTGGCAATGAAGATTCGACCCTTATTATTTAAGTGATAAAAAATTTGAAAGATAAAATTATATTTTTTTATACTTAATTTTTTTTTTACCCGTTCTTACAATCAAGTATTAAAATGTAAAAACACTATTTCGTACATTATTTTTAGTAACCAAGAATTTCTTAAAATTAAGAATTACTTATTTGCCAAAAATTACATGAGGATAGTACAGGGGTCGGCAACCTTTTGAAGCGGAAGAGCCAAAAGTTACAATTTTCAACATTTCCGTGGTTTTAAAGAGCCACTAAAAAATTTTTATTTCAAATATTTTATTTTTTGATTAAGATTATTAGTATTTGTGCAAGGAGCTGGAGAGACGCATCTTGATATCAAAAGAGCCGCATGCGGCTCGCGAGCCGCAGGTTGCCGACCCCTGGGATAGTAGTAACTACTTGTTGAAATTGCGGACTTCTCTCTCTATTTTTGAGACCTAGAAATCAATCTAATTAGCAATACGTAGACCTTAATGTATTCTGGAGAAATATATATTCCATGGTAAACACACATTTAATTTAGCTACCGAAGGAGACGTGCTGTTTTTCTCAACACTCCAGGAAATAGTTATCTTCAAAGCCAACATAACGTTTAATCAGACTCTAGAGTCTAGACATGTACATTATTATTTTTTCAGTTATAACTTTAAAGATTGTTTTTTTTTGTTTTACTTTCCAAAAATTTCATACATTTTCAATATTGACAGATCTTCCAATACAAAGAAATTACGTAGGCAGAGTAGCAAGAAAATATTTGTGTTGGCGAAAAAAAAATGTAAAAATTAATTAATTAAAACCGGGTTCTAACTGATTATTCAAGACACTAAATTAGATGGGTCATTCGATAAGGTGTTTTACTTTTTACTTATTTTCATGTTGGTATTTCCTCTAAGATAGCAGCCACGCACGACAGGTTCTCTAGTTGCCTATAATAAACGATCTTATTAATTATCCGACGCTAACAAGGGTATCACTAAGTAACACATCGAAATGTGGCTATAATGTTGCGTCGATGCCGGTGATTACTAACCCAACAGACTTGTATTCAGTACGCGGGCTGGAGTCATTACTCCATCACTGAGTTTACTCAGCTCTAATGGGTACTCGAGTCAGTAGGCCATCCCTGAGTTCATTTAGCTCTAATGGGTACTCGAGTCAGTAGGCCATACCTGAGTTCATTCAGCTCTATTGGGTACTCGAGTCAGTTTGTCATCCCTGAGTTCATTCAGCTCTAATGGGTACTCGAGTCAGTTTGTCATCCCTGAGTTCATTCAGCTCTAATGGGTACTCGAGTCAGTTTGTCATCCCTGAGTTCATTCAGCTCTAATGGGTACTCGAGTCAGTTTGTCATCCCTGAGTTCATTCAGCTCTAATGGGTACTCGAGTCAGTTTGTCATCCCTGAGTTCATTCAGCTCTAATGGGTACTCGAGTCAGTTTGTCATCCCTGAGTTCATTCAGCTCTAATTAGTACTCGAGTCAGTTTGTCATCCCTGAGTTCATTCAGCTCTAATGGGTACTCAAGTCAGTAGGCCATCCCTGTGTTCATTCAGCTCTATTAGGTACTCGAGTCAGTAAGCCATCCCTGAGTTTATTCAGCTCTAATGGGTACTCGAGTCAGTTTGTCATCCCTGAGTTCATTCAGCTCTAATGGGTACTCGAGTCAGTTTGTCATCCCTGAGTTCATTCAGCTCTAATGGGTACTCGAGTCAGTTTGTCATCCCTGAGTTCATTCAGCTCTAATGGGTACTCGAGTCAGTTTGTCATCCCTGAGTTCATTCAGCTCTAATGGGTACTCGAGTCAGTTTGTCATCCCTGAGTTCATTCAGCTCTAATGGGTACTCGAGTCAGTTTGTCATCCCTGAGTTCATTCAGCTCTAATTAGTACTCGAGTCAGTTTGTCATCCCTGAGTTCATTCAGCTCTAATGGGTACTCAAGTCAGTAGGCCATCCCTGTGTTCATTCAGCTCTATTAGGTACTCGAGTCAGTAAGCCATCCCTGAGTTTATTCAGCTCTAATGGGTACTCGAGTCAGCAGCCCATCCCTGAGTTCATTTAGCTTTACTCGAGCCAGTAACCCATCGCTGAGTTCATTCAGCTCTAATGGGTACTCGAGTCAGTATGTCATCCCTGAGTTCATTCAGCTCTATTGGGTACTCGAGTCAGTTTGTCATCCCTGAGTTCATTCAGCTCAATCGGGTACTCAAGTCAGTTTGTCATCCCTGAGTTCATTCAGCTCTAATGGGTACTCAAGTCAGTAGGCCATACCTGAGTTCATTCAGCTCTATTGGGTACTCGAGTCAGTTTGTCATCCCTGAGTTCATTCAGCTCTAATGGGTACTCGAGTCAGTAGGCCATCCCTGAGTTCATTTAGCTTTACTTGAGCCAGTAACCCATCCCTGAGTTCATTCAGCTCTAATGGGTACTCGAGTCAGTTTGTCATCCCTGAGTTCATTCAGCTCTAATGGGTACTCGAGTCAGTAGGCCATCCCTGAGTTCATTTAGCTTTACTCGAGCCAGTAACCCATCCCTGAGTTCATTCAGCTCTAATGGGTACTCGAGTCAGTATGTCATCCCTGAGTTCATTCAGCTCTATGGGGTACTCGAGTCAGTTTGTCATCCCTGAGTTCATTCAGCTCAATCGGGTACTCAAGTCAGTTTGTCATCCCTGAGTTCATTCAGCTCTAATGGGTACTCAAGTCAGTAGGCCATACCTGAGTTCATTCAGCTCTATTGGGTACTCGAGTCAGTTTGTCATCCCTGAGTTCATTCAGCTCTAATGGGTACTCGAGTCAGTAGGCCATCCCTGAGTTCATTTAGCTTTACTTGAGCCAGTAACCCATCCCTGAGTTCATTCAGCTCTAATGGGTACTCGAGTCAGTTTGTCATCCCTGAGTTCATTCAGCTCTAATGGGTACTCGAGTCAGTAGGCCATCCCTGAGTTCATTTAACTTTACTCGAGCCAGTAACCCATCCCTGAGTTCATTCAGCTCTAATGGGTACTCGAGTCAGTATGTCATCCCTGAGTTCATTCAGCTCTATTGGGTACTCGAGTCAGTTTGTCATCCCTGAGTTCATTCAGCTCAATCGGGTACTCAAGTCAGTTTGTCATCCCTGAGTTCATTCAGCTCTAATGGGTACTCAATTCAGTAGGCCATACCTGAGTTCATTCAGCTCTATTGGGTACTCGAGTCAGTTTGTCATCCCTGAGTTCATTCAGCTCTAATGGGTACTCGAGTCAGTAGGCCATCCCTGAGTTCATTTAGCTTTACTCGAGCCAGTAACCCATCCCTGAGTTCATTCAGCTCTAATGGGTACTCGAGTCAGTATGTCATCCCTGAGTTAATTCAGCTCTATTGGGTACTCGAGTCAGTAGGCCATCCCTGAGTTCATTCAGCTCTTATAAGTACTCGAGTCAGTATGTCATCCCTGAGTTAATTCAGCTCTATTGGGTACTCGTCAGTAGGCCATCCCTGACTTCATTCAGCTCTAATGTGTACTCGAGTCAGGAAAAGAAAAGGCAGTTGGCACATTACCCCTTTACATACCAAAAGTAAACAATCTATGAGCACTGTTTTGTGTTTGTTCTAAAGCAGCCTTGCTAGCCTGACGATTCTCATCACCAGGTACTCCAAGTTCAACGACCTGAAGCTGACCAACCCACAGCTGAAGACCCTCCTGGCCGTGGGGGGCTACAACCTGGGCACCGCACCCTTCAGCCAGATGGCGGCCACGCCCACCACACGCGCGCGCTTCATCCAGACCGCCATTAAATTCTTGCGTGACCGGAAGTTTGATGGCCTTGACCTAGACTGGGAGTACCCGGCGCTCCGGGGGAGCCCGGCAGGTGACGCTCACCTCTTCACCTTGTTGGTGCAGGTAGGTGTCACCATTTGGTTGAAATACATGTGTCACCATTTGGTGAAATACAGGTGTCAAAATTTGGTGAAATACAGGTGTCACCATTTGGTGAAATATAGGTGTCAACATTTGGTGAAATACAGGTGTCACCATTTGGTGAAATACAAGTGTCACCATTCGGTAAAATACAGGTGTCACCATTTGGTGAAATACAAGTATCACCATTTGGTGAAATACAAGTGTCATCATTCGGTAAAATACAGGTGTCACTATTTGGTTAAAAATGCATGCGTCACCATTCTGTAATATACATGTGTCACCTTTTGGTAAAATACCGGTGTCACCATTCGGTAAAGTACAAATGTCACCATTCGGTAAAAAAACGTGTCAATTCGCCAAAATGCATGTGTCACCATTTGGTAAGGTATAGGTGTCAAACAGAGGCGTAGCGAGGGGGTGGGGGGGGACATATGTCCCCGGGCGCCGACCTTAGGGGGCGCCAAAATGGGTTGGAAAAACAAATTCAAATTGAAAGTTTGAGGGGGGGGGGCTGCAAATCGAAGTTCGAAGTTTGAGGGGAGGGGGGTGTAAATCGAAAGTTCGAGGGAGGGTGGTGCATTTTCTCCCGGCGAAAGAGAAAAACAAATTTATTTAGAAAAAATATTCTTTAACCAGTGTTGATCCCCCCCCCCCTCGTTCAGGAAATGTATGCGCCCCCCATCCCCACTCCGTTCCCTCGCCCTCCTCCGTAAGTTCAAATCGGTAAGATGCTGGTGTCGTCATATGGTTATACACAGGTGTCACCGCTCGTTAAGACGCAGGTGCCACCCACTAGCGACACAGGTCTCAGGTAATTTCACGTCTGCTTCCAGGAACTGGCCGCCGCCTTTGACCTGGAGCAGAAGACCAGCGGAAAACCCAAACTTCTGCTGTCTGCTGCTGTAGCCGCTGGCAAGGAGACAGTCGATGCCTTTGACCTGGAGCAGAAGACCAGCGGAAAACCCAAACTTCTGCTGTCTGCTGCTGTAGCCGCTGGCAAGGAGACAGTCGATGTGGCATACGAGATCAGCGCCATTGCCAGGTAAGACGTTATGGCCAGGTAAGACGTTTTGGCCAGGTAAGATGTTATGGCCAGGTAAGACGTTACGGCCAGGTAAGACGTTATGGCCAGGTAAGACGTTTTGGCCAGGTAAGACGTTATGGCCAGGTAAGACGATCTGGCCAGGTAAGACGTTATGGCCAGGTAAGACGTTATGGCCAGGTAAGACGTTATGGCCAGCCAGGTAAGACGTTATGGCCAGGTAAGTCGTTATTGCCAGGTAAGACGTATGGCCAAGTAAGACGTTATGGCCAGGTAAGACGTTATGGCCAGGTAAGATGTTATGGACAGGTAAGACGTTATGGCCAGGTAAGTCGTTATTGCCAGCCAGGTAAGACGTTATGGCCAGGTAAGACGTTATGGTCAGGTAAGTCGTTATTGCCAGCCAGGTAAGACGTTATGGCCAGGTAAGTCGTTATTGCCAGCCAGGTAAGACGTTATGGCCAGGTAAGTCGTTATTGCCAGCCAGGTAAGACGTTATGGCCAGGTAAGACGTTTTGGCCAGGTAAGATGTTATGGCCAGGTAAGACGTTATGGCCAGGTAAGACGTTATGGCCAGGTAAGACGTTATGGCCAGGTAAGACGTTATGGCCAGGTAAGACGTTATGGCCAGGTAAGACGTATGGCCAGGTAAGACGTTATGGCCAGGTAAGACGTTATTGCCAGGTAAGACGTATGGCCAGGTAAGACGTTATGGCCAGGTAAGACGTTATGGCCATGTAAGACGTTATGGCCAGGTAAGACGTTATGGCCAGGTAAGACGTTATGGCCAGGTAAGACGTTATGGCCAGGTAAGACGTTTTGGCCAGGGAAGACGTTATGGTCAGGTAAGACGTTATGGCCAGGTAAGACGTTATGATAAGGTAAGACGTTATGGCCAGGTAAGACGTTATGGCCAGGTAAGACGTTATGGCCAGGTAAGACGTTATGGCCAGGTAAGACGTTATGGCCAGGTAAGACGTTATGGCCAGGTAAGACATTATGGCCAGGTAAGACGTTATGGCCAGGTAAGACGTTATGGCCAGGTAAGACGTTATGGTCAGGTAAGACGTTATGGTCAGGTAAGACGTTATGGCCAGGTAAGACGTATGGCCAGGTAAGACGTTATGGCCAGGTAAGACGTATGGCCAGGTAAGACGTTATGGCCAGGTAAGACGTTATGGCCAGGTAAGACGTTATGGTCAGGTAAGACGTTATGGCCAAGTAAGACGTTTTTGCCAGGTAAGACGTTATGGCCAGGTAAGATGTTATGGTCAGGTTAGACTTTATGGCCAGGTAAGACGTTATGGCCAGATAAGACGTTATGGCCAGGTAAGACGTTATGGCCAGGTAAGACGTTATGGCCAGATAAGACGTTATGGCCAGGTAAGACGTTATGGCCAGGTAAGACGTTATGGCCAGGAACAACATTTTATAATGGCCAGGTACAAGATTTTATAATGGCCAGGTACATTTTATAATGGCCAGGTACAACATTTTATAATGGCCAGGTAAGACGTTATGGCCAGATAAGACGTCATGGCCAGCCAGGTAAGACGTTATGGCCAGGTAAGAAGTTTTGGCCAGGTAAGAAGTTATGGCCAGGTACAACATTTTATAATGGCCAGGTATAAGATTTTATAATGGCCAGGTACAACATTTTATAATGGCCAGGTAAGACGTTATGGCCAGGTAAGAAGTTATGGCCAGGTACAAGATTTTATAATGGCCAGGTACGAGATTTTATAATGGCCATATACGAGATTTAGACTGGTCGGGTACGTCTTTTAGAATGGGCGGGAAACAAATGGAGGCTATAGAACTGCAGGGTACCGTCGTCAACAACCACAGTCTTGAGGAAAATCACGTGATCCAGCCCATCTGAACCCATTGCTTGCTACATGGTGTATTCTTCCAACTGTATGGAGTAACAGTACAATTTCGTGTACTTAACTAAGACTTTAACGCCACCTCCCTTGACTAAACGTAACTCTAGTGTCAGGACCAATAGCTAACCCTAACTCTAACCTCTTTAATCGTGATTCCCCATTACCGCGCTAATTACTCTGACGTCACCACACAGCAAGCTGGACTTCATCAACCTAATGAGCTACGACTTCCACGGTAGCTGGGACCCCGTGACTGGCCACAACAGTCCACTCTACGCTGGTCTGCTGGAAACTGGTGCCATCAGGAACTACAACGTCGTAAGTTAACCCTTTAGGTGCTCTTGTGTAGATTATCCCTGTTGATGCCGTTCTGTTAATTAACCCTTTAGATGCTTTTGTGTAAATTAAACTTGAAGTTGCCTTGGTGTGAATGACCCCTGTAGGCGCCCATCTGATAATTAACCGTTTAGGTGCTCTTGTGTAAATTAACTATTTTGGTGTTCATGTGTAGATTAACCCTTTAGGTGCACTTCAGTATATTAACTCTTTATGTTCTCTTGTGTAGATTAACCCTGTATGTGCTGTTCTGTTAATTAACCGTGTAGGTGCCCTTCTGTTTCTTAACCCTTTAGGTGCTCTTGTGTAAATTAACCCTTTTGGTGCTCATGTGTAGATTAACCCTTTAGGTACACTTCAGTAAATTAACTCTTTATGTTCTCTTGTGTAAATTAAGCATGTACGTGCCCGTCTGTTAATTAACCCTTTAGGTGCTTTTTCATAAATAAACCCTGAGAAGCCTTGGTTTAAATTAACCCTGTAGGTGCTGTTGTATCAGTAAATAATTTATGTGTTGTTTGCCGTCATTAAAGTTGTACACTAGCCTTGTTAATTGTGTTTTGTAGATTAACCCGTTAATTAAATTTTAATAATTTAGAGGACGTATTGCAATATTAATAGTTGATCCAAATTTTAAGTTAACCCTTTAGGATTCGCAATGTTGTGAACTACAGTCAAATCCGTATAGAAAATAATTTCTTAAAGCATAAGACTTTAAATGTACAATTTTATATATAGAGTTTGGTTTTTAAGTAAATATAAATATAATTTCTGAAAATAAAACGATATTTTATTATCTAATCTTTAGTATAGATTGTAGTGTACTCTTATATCGCTATGAGAAGACTATATTATTATTTACATAAATTGTACTATAAAAAGAATATTTTCACTCCATAGGACTTTGCGGCCAAGTACTGGGTGTCTAAAGGCGCCCTCAAGTCTAAGATCAACATTGGTCTGCCGACGTACGGGAGGTCATTCACACTTTCCAGCGTCAGCAAAAACAACACCGGGGACCCTGCCGCAGGCGCAGGTCCTGCCGGCAGGTTCACACAGGAGCCCGGCTCCTTGTCTTATTACGAGGTAATTAATTATGCCAACCACCGGGTTTTCTAGGTCTTCAAAAGTTGATTTGCACCATCAAATTCAGGTCGTGAGCACTAGGCTTGTAACCGAACACTCTAGGTCTGTCTTGTCTGAAACTGTCCACACCCCGCAACCCCCCCCCCCCCCACTCAATGGTGCCATTCACAAGGGGAGGGAATAAAGTCTATGGTGGGAACTTACATGTCACTGTGTCTGGTACCATGGACGCGAGAAATTCTCGGTTCTTCGTCCTGTGCGGTCCTGTACGGTCCTGTACCCGTGTAGAGCCGGCAATGCCAGAAAAGCCGGCAATAACAGTAGAGCCGGCAACCAGAGTGGAGCCGGCAATACAAGTAGAGCCGGCAACCAGAGTGGAGCCGGCAATACCAGTAGAGCCGACAACCAGAGTGGAGCCGAAAATACGAGTAGATCCGGCAACCAGAGTGGAGCCGGCAATACAAGTAGAGCCGGCAACCAGAGTGGAGCCGGCAATACAAGTAGAGCCGGCAACCAGAGTGGAGCCGGCAATACAAGTAGAGCCGGCAATACCAATAGAGCCGGCTATATCAGTAGAGCCGGCAACCAAAGTGGAGCCGGCAATACCAGAGGAGAAAATCAGGCTTAACAACCCGTATTTTGACACAGCCGGCTCTGATGGGTACCTAACTCATGTTAGGGAAAGTAAAGGCGGCTTGGCATAGTGTTGACCACAATATCCCTTCATATGCCGAGGTAAAAAAACATACAAACTCCATTTTATCTGCCCAATGGATCGCTATATCTAAATTCAGAATTATTTTGAATTGAGTGTTGAGTGCGAGTTGGACTGCTGTTGACAATGTTGACTTGTCTAGCGAGTTGGACTGCTGTTGACAATGTTGACATGTCTAGCGAGTTGGACTGCTGTTGACAATGTTGACATGTCTAGCGAGTTGGACTGCTGTTGACAATGTTGACATGTCTAGCGAGTTGGACTGCTGTTGACAATGTTGACATGTCTAGCGAGTTGGACTGCTGTTGACAATGTTGACATGTCTAGCGAGTTGGACTGCTGTTGACAATGTTGACATGTCTAGCGAGTTGAACTGTTGTTGACAAAATTGACCTGTCTCAACAGATCTGCGAGATGATCTCCCAGGGTGCGACAGTAAGACGCAGCATGGACCAGCAGGTGCCCTACCTCGTCAAGGGCAGCGTCTGGGTGGGGTACGACGACCCAGTGAGCTTAAGAAACAAGGTACGCCACTACATGTCGTTGTACTAGCGGTTTGCAGGTTCAATTAACATGGTTAACTTTACCTGACCAAAGGGGTCATAACTTTTATATTTTGTGAAGGGAAGACAATTTCAGATACTCATGACTAACACTGTCATGTTGCGATGTATTTATTGAAATCTTAGTTTACAGCAGATAGGAATGGGTTAGGGTAAATCAAACAGGTTAGGAAATTTCTTATAGAAAACTAGGTAAAATTCTTAGAAACTAGGACGCTTTTGTTTAAGAAAACATGAAAATTTCCTTTAAATACAGGAAATTCCAATATAAACGCGAATACCCCACAGAAAACAGGAAATTCACCAAGAAAACCGGAAATTCTCATAACAATACGAAGAATTCTCTCGGAAATCAGTAAAATTCCCATTAAAAAAGATGAAATTCCCTATGTAAACGGAAAATCTCAAAAGAAAAAAGTAAATTCAGTTAGAAAATCTCAGACCAACATGGCTAATTAAGGACTAGAGCTAAGCCCACTCGTCTCACAAAAATATGGTAGGACAAAAACATCATGTAAAAACTTATGGACATAACGGATGGGGAATGATACTACGTCTGACAGAGGTACTGTATCTGATAAATTATAAAGTTGGTGACGTCTTGACCATATTTTCCGTAGGGAGTTAACAGCAATATAAAAACAAACATGGCCGGAAATTACGAAAAGATTAGTAATTACAGCCCACATTATCAACTGAATTTAGATATTATTGCACACAAATTTTTAAAACATCAATGTAGAAGGAAAGCAAGCTTATCATCGATGCTTTCCTTGAGCTCAAAGTAGACAATTTACACGGAGTAAAATCTATAATGTATATATTCCCGTTTTCTATTTTCGTATGAAATGGTGTGATACGGAAATATATCAATGCATAATTCCTTTCAGATTGAGCCTGAGAATAAATGGACATTGGACAAATGTTGAGACAATGGACATTGGACAAATGAGGAGAGACAGTGGACATTGGACTAATGATAAGAGACAAAATTAGATAATAGACTGTAGTTTTGACAGAATATTTCAGGTTCAAGAAAATTGATTTTTCTAACAACTTGAAAATTCAACTGACCTGTAAACTATTATTTTGAATCAGTGTAACTACAAGAACTGATGACACTTTAAGAAAAATTCCTTTAAAACAATCAAGTTGTTTTGGAGACTTGACGTAAAAAAGACGAACTTGGGAACAGGTGGATATATAAAATAAACAACCTCTTACTACTACAATGTTACCAGTATCTTTAATCAATCATAGCATCTTCAACCTACTTAACACATACAGGTCAACGCCAATATTCGAGTACTCGAGTACCATGTAAATCAACATACTCTACTCCATCTCAACCAATCAACTAATCTCAGGTCTTAGACCCGACACTCCACTGATAGCATCTTTGTTTACTACAAGATCTAGTAGGCCTACTGGGTTTGTTGATAAAGTGCTGATATTTTTTTTGTGAATTTACAACGCTGGCACGCATTTATTGACAATAGAAACGCAGCAACTGAATACATACAAGGTCCAAAGTGGTACATACAACCACAACTAAGCTGAACTAGCACCAACTGAACTCTTAGCCTAGATATAATTAAAAAAAATATGATTAAAACATATCTACATTTTATGCGCATTTCCATGAGAATTGATCAAAAATTGTTTACCATTCAGCGACCCCGCACAGAATCTCATGCCTAATCTATGCAGGTCGATCAATTGAAACTAGACCACACCGGAATAAATTAGCCAGCATGGGGAGGGGGGGGGGAGGGGGGGGGGGGGTGTAGGTCTAATCAGTTACATCACCATTCCACAAGCTGACCCAGAAAACTATAGGCTCAGGCCAGGGTGTGGAAAGATGAAGGGGTGGGCAGTGTTTCTTTCAGGCATTTCTTCGGTGGACATCCCCCACCTCCGAAACAAGTCTACCGCCACCGAAATATAGAGGATAGAGAAAATATATACTTTTACTAGTCTTCCCCCCTCCCCCCCTTGGGAAATTTTGCTCAGCCTCCCAAATGTTTCAAGTCCCCAAGCCCCCCCCCCCTCTCCCCGGAGAAAAAAGGTCTGAAAGAAACATTGGGGGGTAGGGTTGGGGATGGAGTAAGTAGTGAAGTACTGCACCTACTGCAAGTAACTTCATACGTTTTTAGAAAATAAAGTAACGTTTTGTGTCTAAGAAATGTCATGTAGGGTTAATTACTGAACTAATGTTATACGTGGAAAACTACTGAACAAATGTCATGAACTAATCACTGAACTAATGTTATGCGTGGTTAAATCTACCACAACGTCAGGCGTGAGTAATCACCAAACAGATGTCATGCATGGCCAATGACACCAATGACATGCTTGGTTAATGACATCAAATGACATGTGTGGTAAATTCCGTCATTTACGTCATGCGTGGTTAATCATCAAACGGATGTCATGTGTAGTTTATGCCATCAAATGCCATGCGTGGCTATACCATCAAATGACATGCGTAGCTATACCACCAAATGACATGCATGTGACATCTGACCCAGGTGAAGTACATCAAAGACAACGGCTACGGCGGGAGCATGCTGTGGACCCTGGACCAAGACGATTTCACCGGTACATTTTGTGGGCAGGGAAAATTTCCCTTGACCACAGCCGTCAGCCAGGAGTGTCTGGATGTCACCTCAGGGTGAATGCAGGTGAGTGGGGTTTACCTGTGACATCTGTGACACGCTGCGGCGTGACGATTCGACGTCACATACTATGTGACATATTTCTGTGACGGTTTTGGTGACGTTTGTATTGAACCGACATTTAATAAATGACACGAGACGTAGATGTTTAATACAACAAAAGTTCAGCCGCACGTAAAATACTAGTGACCACAAATGACCGCTAGTCTTCTTCATCTTCGTTCTTAGTTTTAGTGTTGGAAGGGATCCCCTACAACACAATTAAGTGACCGCTAGTGGCCGCACATGTTAATTGAAAAATTGCGTCTTAATCTTTAACTTAAGCATAACATCTTATTATCAAGTAAGGTCGTATTCTCAATTGCACTGTTAGATGTATCTCTGTATATATATATATACATATATATATATATATATATATATATATATATATATATATATATATATATATATATATATATATATATATATACGTTATATTTATTCAATTTATCTTTAAAAATCAGGTTTTTGTAATTTTTCTCCATTTTTGTTTCTGATTTTTTTAAGAAGAATTTTAGATTATAAAAGCACGACAAGTAAAATGTTTGCCTAAAAACTTTAATAAACTTAACACCTTTCATTTTACTCCCTTTTAAATAATCCTGTATTTTTAATCGAATGTGCATTGAATTTAATTTAGCTGTGTCTGTTGTCACTTGGAGTTAGGTGCCCCTGATGAACCAGGACAAAAGGAACAAGTTTGAACAACATAAAGACAGAATAAAATTCTATTCGTTTGTGATGAGTCCTGTGTGTGATCTCATTCTTTTTTTCAAATACACCACACCGTCATGATAGCGTGCACCAGAGAAGTCTTAGAATATGAATAAGCCTCTGTTTTAAATAGACATTGGATATCTGGTTGACTTAGATGTAGGTCGTAGCCTACGGTTTAAATTGATTGAAACTATAAGAAAGTATACAGTATATTAAAAAGAGTTCTCAATATGGTACTTGAATGGCCAGCGTTCGAATCCTAAGACTAAGGGTTCACCTCACACTGCGTGTTCCCCTAAGTCTCAGGGTTCACCTGAGACTGAGGGTTCACCTAAGACTGAGGGTTCACCTGAGACTGAGGGTTCACCTAAGACTGAGGGTTCACCTAAGACTGAGGGTTCACCTAAGACTGAGGGTTCACCTAAGACTGAGGGTTCACCTAAGACTGAGGGTTCACCTGAGACTGAGGGTTCACCTAAGACTGAGGGTTCACCTAAGACTGAGGGTTCACCTAAGACTGAGGGTTCACCTGAGACTGAGGGTTCACCTAAGACTGAGGGTTCACCTGAGGGTGAGGGTTCACCTAAGACTGAGGGTTCACCTGAGGGTGAGGGTTCACCTAAGACTGAGGGTTCACCTGAGACTGAGGGTTCACCTAAGACTGAGGGTTCACCTAAGACTGAGGGTTCACCTGAGGGTGAGGGTTCACCTGAGGGTGAGGGTTCACCTAAGACTGAGGGTTCACCTGAGGGTGAGGGTTCACCTAAGACTGAGGGTTCACCTGAGACTGAGGGTTCACCTAAGACTGAGGGTTCACCTAAGACTGAGGGTTCACCTGAGGGTGAGGGTTCACCTGAGGGTGAGGGTTCACCTAAGACTGAGGGTTCACCTGAGGGTGAGGGTTCACCTAAGACTGAGGGTTCACCTGAGACTGAGGGTTCACCTAAGACTGAGGGTTCACCTAAGACTGAGGGTTCACCTGAGGGTGAGGGTTCACCTGAGGGTGAGGGTTCACCTAAGACTGAGGGTTCACCTGAGGGTGAGGGTTCACCTAAGACTGAGGGTTCACCTGAGACTGAGGGTTCACCTAAGACTGAGGGTTCACCTAAGACTGAGGGTTCACCTAAGACTGAGGGTTCACCTGAGGGTGAGGGTTCACCTAAGACTGAGGGTTCACCTGAGACTGAGGGTTCACCTGAGACTGAGGGTTCACCTGAGACTGAGGGTTCACCTGAGGGTGAGGGTTCACCTAAGACTGAGGGTTCACCTGAGACTGAGGGTTCACCTGAGACTGAGGGTTGATATAAACTACCCTGGGGTGTGGAGCCTATGTGGTTTTGGGCAGGATTCAGTGTTCTGAATAAGTAGAAGGGGTCACGTGGTCGGGTCGGTAAAGTCCCGAGATCGAACCCCCGGGCAGACAAGGCTGGAGACAGCAACCTATCTAAGAGAGAAAACGTGTAGTTTATTTTTAGTTGGACAATGGTTATGGAAACAAATGGAAAAAGAAAAGCAGGCTGAAATCGGAGCCAAAGGCTTTTAGACGCATAACAAGCTGACGCGGCAACAGTGAATAAAGTAAAAACAGCATGTTTTGATGAAATGTTGTGTTTTCAAAATGTTAAGACAGGCAATTGACTGTGTAGTTAGGTACCGTGATAAGTGCTAGGATTAGAAAGGACCTAAGGAAAATACAAAAAGGAAATAGAACGCTCCTCTTATGAGAGCAGAGTAAAAATTAAAAAAAAAAATATTTCTGTAAAAATAACAGTTAGAAGAGGCGGCGCTGAATATTTAATTTGTCTTGTGTAGAAATTGAAGAAATCGTATTAAAACTCGGGTCAGCTTAATTCAAGCTCTCCTTAGTAGTAACAAACACACAACAAACAAGCAAGGGCCGATGTTTGTGTGGAGAGTGTCTCCCATTAAACGAGACACAAACCCTTTTGACTGTGCTTAGATTATGCCCCCTACAACACTCGAAGTTTTGGCTGTCGTTAGAATATGCCATACAACTAACAGGTTTGGCTGCCCTTAGATTATGCCCCAACAACAAACAATCTTGGCTGCCCTTAGATTATGCCCCTACAACAAATAATCTTGGCTGCCTTTAGATTATGCCCCAACAACAAATAATCGTGGCTGCCCTTAGAATATGCCCCAACAACAAATAATCTTGGCTGCCCTTAGATTATGCCCCAACAACAGACAATTTTGGCTGTCCTTAGATTATGCCCCAACAACAAATAATCTTGGCTGCCCTTAGATTATGCCCATACAACAATCTTGGCTGCCCTTAGATTATGCCCATCCAACAAATAATCTTGGCTGCCCTTAGATTATGCCCATACAACAAATAATCTTGGCTGCCCTTAGATTATGCCCCAACAACAAACAATCTTGGCTGCCCTTAGATTACGCCCCTACAACAAATAATCTTGGCTGCCTTTAGATTATGCCCCAACAACAAATAATCGTGGCTGCCCTTAGAATATGCCCCAACAACAAATAATCTTGGCTGCCCTTAGATTATGCCCCAACAACAGACAATTTTGGCTGTCCTTAGATTATGCCCCAACAACAAATAATCTTGGCTGCCCTTAGATTATGCCCATACAACAATCTTGGCTGCCCTTAGATTATGCCCATCCAACAAATAATCTTGGCTGCCCTTAGATTATGCCCATACAACAAATAATCTTGGCTGCCCTTAGATTATGCCCATACAACAAATAATCTTGGCTGCCCTTAGATTATGCCCATACAACAATCTTGGCTGCCCTTAGATTATGCCCATCCAACAAATAATCTTGGCTGCCCTTAGATTATGCCCATACAACAAACAATCTTGGGTGCCCTTAGATTATGCTTATACAACAATCTTGACTGCCGTTAGATTATGCCCCTACAACAAACAATCTTGGCTGCCCTTAGATTATGCCCTTCGACACACGAGCCGTCTTGGTCTATGGCACGACGAACAAGACAGCCTCTACGAGCGACTAATGGCACCAATCAAGCCCCAATCGAAGTCCAAGTCTAGTAGCGGCCAATTTGCGGTAGCGAAATAATATTTGTGGTGTGTGATTCATTGCGCGGCTACGCCCGACCCGGCTCGACCAATCGGCTGTCGGGAAAAGACGGTCACATGACCAGGGGGAAAATGCGATCAAAGCTAAGGACGGAAGCACGTGATCAGAACATTGTGTGGGCTTGTGGGGACACTTAGGTGATTGTGGGGGTAGAGAAACTGTGTGTACACGTCACGTGTTGTGGTGATTGGGGTCCAAAAGATGAAGCCCTTCCGGTTGTTGTCTGTGTTAGATGGAAGTCATCAAGATGACTGTAATCTATACAGTTTACAAAGTCATATATATATATATATATATATATATATATATATATATATATATATATATATATATATATATATATATATATATATATATATATATATATATATATACTAGCCGTCCCGGCCAGGCCCTGCTCTGGCGTCTGTGAAAAACCTTTCTGTTAAAGACCATTACCTGTGTGTTTAATAATCATCATAAGCCCGGCAATGCCCACCCAAACCACAACCAACCAAAACCAAAACAACATAACGCAAACATAACGCTAACACAATTACAAATACAAACGAAAACAAAAACCTAACAACAAACCCAACCACAAAGACCAATACTAACACAAAGAAAAAACAAACAAAAAAGCAAACAAAAACCTAACAACAAACCCAACCACAAACACCAATACGAACACAAAGAAAAAAACAAACGAAAAAGCAAACGAAAACAAACCAAATCTAAACGCAAAACCAACCACAAACACAAACACAAACCCAAAGAAAAAAACACAAACGAAAAAGCAAACGAAAACAAACCAAATCCAAACGCAAAACCAACCACAAACACAAATACAAACACAAACTCAAAGAAAATAAACCGGGAGTGATCTCCCCTAAACTTTCTCGAATATTCTTATATAAAACAACAGGGGATGGGAACTCGGGCTATAGACATGATTTTTAATCAATTTTAAATACTTAAAGTTTTAAAAATAGAATAAAATCTCGTAGACAAATGAATTGCACACCAAGTGAACGCTAAATAAAAGAGTGTTTAATAGTGCGCAATATTATTAGTACTTTTAAAATTTACATTAGTTTTTTGAGAAATCGAAAGTAGCGTAAATTACTACTTCCGGTCAACGGAAATTACTCAAAATTTAACAGAAGGTAGAGAATTAGATCTTTTACTTACATGTGAAATTTCATTTATCTATGTGAAATAATACTCAAGTTATAGGCTTTTTAAAAATTCAAAGTAGAAAAAGTACCACTTCCGGTTATCGGAAATCGCTCAAAAGTTGATACGGATCTACGATTTTGATAAAATACTTATATATGAAATTTCATCAACCTAGCTGTAACGGTACTCAAGTAATCGTGTTTACACACGGACACACACACACACACACACAGACACACAGACATACGGACAGAGTTGCAAAGCCCAGTTTTTCAGACTGGATTACACACAAAACCTCTTAATTTTGATACATCTGGATTGATAATTTTTGCCCGATTAAAATAAGTCCTCTATACTTCGGATGTGATTAAGGACTGAGATGTAATACGGTGAAAATTGTTAAAATTTCAAGTGATTTTTGTGCACGATTACAATACTTTCTCTATACTTCGTATATACGAGAAAGTAAAAACACAAACGAAAACGAAAAAAGAACGAACAAAAACAAACCAAATCAAACGCAACCACTAACGCAAACCCAACCTAAACACAAAGAAAACACAAACGCCAACATAAACGCAAAGTACTCACAGTCTAGCACGGGGCAAAATCGCCTGTTTCAGCTTAATAAACGACTATAGTACCCCAACTTATTCATAGTTAATTGCACTCACTTAAACGAACGTAGGTGCCAAACCATACCAAATGAACAATTATAATACTCCAAGCTTATCCGTAAAATACCTACAACATTTGCACTTGATGCTAATTATGT